CCTTTCGGTGAGGTTGACCTTTTTCTTTGTCTTGATCTAATGTCTGAATAGCTCCGAGATGTCTGAAGTAGCCGACATAGATTGGGACAGCATAGGTTTCGGTATTCAACCAACCGATTACATGTATATCATGAAGTGTGGCCGCGACGGGAATTTCTCTAAGGGCGAGTTGCAGCGTTTTGGGAACATTGAGCTGAGCCCGTCAGCCGGTGTTCTCAATTATGGTCAGGTAGGTTTCTTTGTTTCTCAGGTCTTGTCCTTTTGAGACAATCTTAGTCTATGGAATGGAAATGCATTTCTTGGGTTGAGTAGTTGAAAATATGAGGTAGTTGCAGTTGCAGGAGCTTTATAACTTGTCAACTCCTGTTTTTTTTTTTCTTAGAGGAGCTCATTTTTCCTGATTTTCTTGTTACATGAGTGAGATTCCTCCATGACTCTTGTTGTTGTTGTTACTCTTTCACTAGTTTCTATACGAGGCTTTAGTTCTAGATATTTGATTGGAATGCTCTAATAAGGCCGATTAGTTTCTTCTCTGAATGGTTGCAAGACTTTGAATGGTTCTTGATGCGGAAATGTGAGGCAATGTATCATGGCTGTGAAAATCAGCCGCAGAATTTTCTGTGATGGTCCTTAAATGGAGGCCTGCATGGCCATCTGGGGCCTGGTTGGAAGTATATGAGAATGAATCAAAGATCAAATATTTATATTATACCCTGCCATTTATATGCATCCGCCATCCAGTTTATCTTCATTTATTCAGTGGTTAAAAGTTTGAACAAGTAATCAAATGATTCAGGTACTTTCTCAAGAAGTGATACTTTGAATTGATGTTTATTTGGGAGTCTTCTCACTTGATAAGATTGTAACCTAGAGGGATAGTTCACTTAGTTAGAATTTAGATTGCCCTTTCTGTGTCTGTGTCTCGGTGACGATAAGATGCTTCATTGTCTCTCCAGCTTGTTGGGTACGATTTTTTCTTCTTCTAAGGGGTCTTATCTCAATTTGTTTTCTAATGCCCTCCTCTGTTTTTAGGGATTGTTTGAAGGGCTAAAAGCCTACAGAACACAGGAGGGGAGCATTCTCCTGTTCCGTCCTGAGGAGAATGCTATCCGCATGAGAATGGGGGCTGAGAGAATGTGCATGCCTGCCCCAAATGTCGAACAGTTTGTGGAAGCTGTGAAGAAGACCGTGCTAGCAAACAAACGATGGGTAATGGCAATACATATTCTTTTTTTGATTATGTAAAAGTATCGAATTATCTTAGTGATATGCTTTTTTCTTGATGTGTTATTGTTTCAGGTTCCTCCTCCAGGTAAAGGTTCCTTATACATCCGGCCATTGCTAATGGGAAGTGGAGCTGTTCTTGGTCTTGCCCCAGCTCCTGAATACACTTTTCTTGTTTATGTTTCACCAGTGGGAAACTATTTCAAGGTTAGCCCGACTCCAAAAAGTTTCGAAATTTCCTCTTCACACATCCAGAGGCATATCCTTTGATGGTATTTAATATATTTTTCAATGCTTAGCTGTTGTGATTAAGAACATTTTCTTAGTGATGTCAGGAAGGGGTGGCACCAATCAACTTGATTGTGGAACATGAATTTCACCGTGCCACTCCAGGTGGTACTGGGGGTGTCAAAACGATAGGCAATTATGCTGCAGTAAGTAGGCAGGCTCCTTGCTTGTTTGGTTTTCCGGTTTTCGGTTTTCAAATTCAAACGTAGCCTCGGTTATTTGTAATCTAGGTTCTGAAGGCACAGTCAATTGCGAAAGCCAAAGGATATTCCGATGTTTTATATCTTGATTGTGTTCACAAAAGATATCTTGAGGAGGTTTCCTCTTGCAATATTTTCGTCGTGAAGGTAAATCTCATCTGCTGGTATCTGATAGCGCCTTCGAATCTAGATGTTTTTCTTTTACGCTTTGCATTACTTGTTCCCAACAAGTATTGGGGACAAATTCTTATTTTTAAGGACAAGAATAACGCCTTTGAATCTAGATGTTTTTCTTTTACTCTTTGCATTGCTTGTTCCCAACAAGTATTGGGGACAAATTCTTATTTTTAAGGACAAGAATAACATCATCTCGTGTTTGGATATTTGTGCTGACCTAACTCGTTTGGTTCTTGTTTTACCAGGATAATGTGATATGCACTCCTGAAATAAAAGGAACCATCCTGCCTGGAATCACCCGGAAAAGTATAATCGATGTGGCTCGAAGCCAAGGGTTTCAGGTGAATTCTCTTCTCCCAACTCTGAATTTTTTTTTGTGTCCGGACAAGATCAAAGTACTGTTAACACCATCAAGGGCCAAAACTTAAATACAAGGACCGGGCTTGTTGGTGGCATAAGTATAGTATGTAAAAGATCAAAGTTGTTATTGCAGGTTGAGGAACGGGGAGTGACAGTGGA